ATGATTTCATATGAACCAAAATATTTTTACATGGTAAGTATCAAGTAGGGTATATTTTTCTCAAAACCCTTTATGACTATTTGTACTTTTTGCTTATATGTTAATAATAAATTTTAAATTAATATATAATTTGTGTTTCTATTCAAAACGATATATGCATACGTACTTGATAGATTCAATATGTAACTAGCATCTTTCGTTGTATATTTATTTGGATAAATCTCCACTACTGTGAAATAAGCCGATATAAAAAGAGTATAATGCACGCAGAGTCACGAGTCACAGATAGTCATATAATTAAAACAGATTTATCAAAGATTTGGCGAATATAAGACGTTTTAATTTAGTTACATCGATATATCTTTTTGACTTGAGACATTAATCAACGAAGGAATCGTTGGCGTCTGAATAGTTTAATAACCTGTTACAAATAAAACGAACAATAATAATACTAATTAAATTAATAGGAATTTTTTTTTGGAAATATTTACCTACATAAGTTTAAGGTATTTTCAAAAAAATTTATATATTTTTTATAACAAAGAAATTAAAAACTAAATTGCTACGAATTGTTATGTTATTAAGATTATTAAAATATACAATAAAAATACGTTATTTATAATAACAAACCAATTATGAACATTTAAGACGGGCGTGGGCAATCAACTCGACAAATTACAACTATTTAGATACATACCTATTTGAGTATAGTTCATTGACCTATTTAAAGAGTCCCGAACAATTGAAACGTCTGTACGACACCCGAATTTCACACTACCACCAATTACGGACGATTTAATGTTTAATACGACCAATGGTGCCACCTAAATGGTACTCATTTAAAAGTTAAAATATCGTTATGAAATTAAAAAAAAAGCAACTAGAAAGAAGTAATGTAGTAATAAATATTATATCTGTATATAATAAAATGAATTGCTGTTCGTTAGTCTCACTAAAACTCGACAACGGCTGAACGTATTTATCTTATCTTAGTCTTGAAATATTCGTGGAGGTTCAGGGAAGGTTTAAAAGCTGAAAAAAATGATTCATTTCCAGGAAAACCCTAAAACAGCCCTTTTCTATATCCCATACAAACGTTTTTTTGACATTAGATTTGACAACTAACTAATATGTCAATCATTCTGTCGCACTTCAGAACACGGAGATTTATGGCTTATAGGTAAACTACAAAAAAATATATATTTATCGATTGAGGCAGTACGAAGTCTGCCCGGTTAGCTAGTTTAAAATAAATAATTCAAATAATATATATGATAGAACGCAATAAAGATCTTGCAACCAATTTAAGAGACAATATAAAAATAGATCTACCTCAATCACATATGAAGCGACTTCCTATTATAATCCGATTACATGGAATTTAATTTGCCATCGGGATTTCTGAGAGGATTATATCTCCGGAGATCGAGGAATCAGATATTATATATATTAATAAAAAAACGAGGTATTGATCACACCTAAAAATATAACATATGTTTCGACTTTAAACAATTAACACATTCTATCTTAGACAATAATAATTTATATAAATATGTATTGTATTTATAATCGACGTATTATGACTGTCACTCATACCCAGACTGAAATTACATTTAATAAAAAAGCTATACTAAAACTAAAATTTAATAAAAAATATAGAATCAAAAATGTATTAACACGAGCGGGATTCGAACCCACAACCTCTGGAATATCGTTCCAGCTGCCTTCCCTATTGAGCTATCGTGTCTTGGAAATGATTAATTTTTCATACAATATTTTCTAATTTAAATTTTAGTTCTAACTTTGCTTTAATATGAAGAACACAATTGCACTATAGATTGATATTTTAATAGTATTTCTTATATATATTTCGACACAAAGTTCATTAATGCGAGTATAGAATAACATAATTTTATTATTTCTAACATATAATAAAATTTAAATATATATTCGCGAGTTTATTGACTAAGCACATCGAACGTAAAGGCCTATTTTTGTTGAATGTTTTCAAAGCAGCGTATTTATCTACAAAACATAGGAATAATAGAATCTAGAAGAAAATGAAGAAGATTAGAAAGAAAGAACTTTAAGCTGGTGGGTAATATGAAATGGGTTAAAAAATAAAATGAAGCATTACATTAGATCAAAATAGTTAATATTCTATGAGCTCAGTCATACAATACAATCACATTTCTGACACAATATTTAAGTTGAATGATTTCCATATTCTTTTTATTTAATATATAAATATTATAAATATACACAAGATTTAATTCTTAATTACATATATTTGATACTTTATTATATTTTAAAATGTTCGTAAAATTTTACGCGAACTAATAAAATTAGCAGCGTCCAAGATTTTTCTTACAACTGATTATATTAATTTTGCTTTGATTCATATCTTTTAGTTAACACAAACTTTATGACTAAAGAATTAAAATGCCCTGCTTATCTGTAATAATCGCCAACCCGTCTTGAGCAAGCGTGGTGATTAATGCTCAAACCTTCTCCATGTGAGAAGAGGCCTTGCTCAGCAGTGGGCTCTGATAGGCTGACGATATGTAATAGGATCCTTATTATTGTGTACAATATGTTATCATATTTTTAATATTACATTGAAACCTTTAAGTAACTTTGATCACTGCAAAATTAATAAACATATACAAAATATATAAAGTCAAAAAAACTTAGTTCAATAGCACTTTTTATCTGATAGGAGAGATCCTTATATAGATAAATATGAATCTTGATAAATGATTATTTTATATACATATATAAGGTATAATTATATTCAATAAAATATATTTATAAATATGATCTTTCTAAACATTTTATTTAAATATTTATAATAATAAAATATTGTTTGTTTTAGTATAAGAAATATTTATTCTGTAGTACAAAATTACTAACACTGCCTATGATATTAGTCGTGAAAATAATAACAAAGAATAATACGTACCTACATCAAATCTTTTTCTAACAAATTAAAAGTTAATAATAAGTTGCGTCATCCAAATAGCAGCCTCGTCGGTTCAAGAGTACATACAGTGTGTGAAAAAAAAACCTTCCATATAATATTAATTTCCTTCAGAACGTGAATGCAGTTTCTAAATGTTACGCCAAACTATTGTTACGCGATGCGCACGCGCACCTCGCCTTGCCTTAGACAGCTTGACGACCGAGAGTGCACGCCGCATTGTAATATCGACGAACCATTACCATCCTTATGTCAGAGTAAATAAAGTATATTATCGCGTGTAATAATATGCATAACAATATAACGTGCGTGCCGTTGTAAGTGGATATGAATTTAAATTTGCCCTTTGGTCTTTGTGGTTGAATCGTATTTCAAATTACTCACTCGAAGTAATCTGTATTTGCATGTTATCTATTGTTATAATAACATTTAGATCGTCAATGTTAATAAAATATTGAATTTCAGTATCAAAGTACTCTCGTTCTTACTTTACAACGATAGTATTGCGTTTATCAAATACATTTTATTAAGTAAAATGGTTTAAAAGTTAATGAAATACGCTAAAATTATGTTAAAAAAAACCTATTGAACAAACATATAGTATAAACTGTTACGTAAAAGTAAGATTGTCTTAAATCAAGATAATATTGAGTATAGAGACGAAATTCGCGAATGTCGTCAGTAACCTTATGATAAGAATCAAATCGAAATCGGTCTTTGACCGATAACATCCATGTAGAATAATATATGAACTGTTATTGCAATAACAACGTCCAATTATATAACTGATTATAAATGTTACGATAAAACAGCAAATTAATAACGAACTCACAAAAACATAGCCGTAATAACAAATGAGAGAAATTTTATATTTCAATAAACCTTTATATTTCATAGGAGATATTTCTTTCAGAATTTATATTTCAGTAGAGATACCCCATTAGCAGATATTGCCTTTAGCAACAGAACTACAATACAACATTTTAAGAACAAAATCTTTGTTATTCTATCAAAGTGGAATATACACAGAAACTGAATTGAAATTAGACGTAAAATTATGAATGGTAAAGAAAATGTGCTATGATAAACATTACTTGAATATTATGAAAAACCTTTGTTAAATAAATAATAAGTTAATACATTCATTATGTTATCTAGAATAATAATAAGATATATTTATTATTATGCCATGTTTATAAGCCGTCTAATATCTTTAAAACTAATAAGAAAAATGCTAAAGATTGAATGTTCCGTTGTTAGTACAGTTTACATTAAAATGTCCAAATGAATTGCTATTTAAATTTATAGTTACGCTGAACATAAATCAAAATAGCACAAGAGCGTCATTTAAACGCATTGTTGAATTACCATAATATTTTCACGGGCAAAGTATAACGAAGAACATATATTTTTGTATCGAAGTGAAAATATATCAATTACAACTTAACAATCCATTGTAGAGAATGACCCTTTACAGCCGACATAAAATGAATGAAAACAATTAATTAAGAGGGAAATGGTCCTTCTATTTTCATAGGATGTTCTAATGAAAGACGGGAGCGAAAGCAAATATTTTGAGTGTAGCGTCAAAAACAAGACGAGCCATTGACTACACTCATTATTCCAGACAAGCAAGTTTAATGGGACACCGCAACTAACTCGTAAACCCTTGCTTTGATTGCTTCCATATAAATTAATTTCCTGTAATTCGTATTCAGTTCTAAATGGATTTCATGTCTGGAAACGACGGACGGCGCGAGGCGGAGGGACACGAGAACGGAATCGTTATACAATGAACATCAAAGGACTACAGACGAAACATTCCAATTGTTCTGAAGTTTCATTGAAAGAACGCAGCACGAGTGGCGCCCTCGACCCGCCGGCACCACCGCGCTGATGACAAACCAAAACAAATATCCTTGAATAAATCAACGGTCTGTTTAATGAACGGAAGCCGCGCTCACGCAAATTAAACTTAAAATCATACCGACACATTGCCCCGTAATTAATCGCGGGACCCTCACATCATAACGTTTTCATAGCGCACATCACCCCGCATGAAACGATTCACTCCTACTGAACGATTTACTAACACAAGGTTCAAAATCGCTCGGCACAGCGTCCGCCTGACTCTCGCCCTTTGCGACACACTCAGGAAGATATCCGTGACGTCACTAGTAATTAAGAAGCGGCCGCGTTTCGTGTCCCTCGGGGATGACAGGGCTCCAGAGCCGCGCCCCGCTCGCATCATCTCCTAACTGCATAATCGATAACAGCTTGTGACTCTCGTCTTGTCTAGACTCTGACAGGCTCGCTCGGTGTTCTGCTTCGGATTGCGTTTCAAGTGGGCTCGCCTCACGCTGCTAGCGACTCGAACGTTCCCACAACCCAGAGTCTTAAGTTATGCGATCATCCTTTAAGATCGACGGAGCGCAAATACATCTCCTACAGATATTTCCAATTGAAACGTTGAAACTCAGCGGGCCGTGATCGACTGTGGCAGAGTCGAGCGTTTAATTGACAATGAATGTGACAGTATAGGAACGGGTGAGGCTTGACAGGAGTGAGAGGAATGAGAGCGTCTTCGTTAATGGGGTCAACGATATTGAGAAAAGTGTAACGGTACAGTGGATCCGGCGCGGATTTATTTCAGAGCAGGCCTCACAGGACCATTCAGATGACCCTCGTCCGCTCACATTCGGTCATGTCGATACGGGAAACAGATGAGCACATTCTGAACGGCGGATGAATAGTGAGAGGACGCTCTGTCAATGGTACACATTCCCCTCCCCACACAAGAGATCTCGTAAACCCGGAATTAATAAGACCATTTGTATTCGACCGTGTGGATATCTCGTCGTCTTAGTTGTCCCATTAATGCGTACATATTCATTGCGAATGTTCCTACGAGCTAACCGCGAAATCCGACTCTTAGTTACGCTCGTGAGGGCTTCATTTATAAGAACTATAAATAATTAATTAGCCATGCCGTGCGTCCCGGGTGGGGAGCCGGGAGGGGGGGCTCGTTCGTTTCACCCGCATCAAGCCTGTGACATTTTAATGGCCTTTTAAACGCACACGCCACGTGAGCGCGCCTTTGTATAAACTGAGTGTGCTAAATATGAACACGATAAAGGAGATAGGGTAATTATTTCCGCCTTCAATAGTCGCATTCGTATGCAGGGAGCGACAAAGCCGGCGTCTGTTACCTAGCAAATAGCCGGTGGCGGCGAATGGTAGCGTAAATCAGTGCATCCAATCACGGACGGCGACGCTAGTTTGGAATCAGTTTGCCACTATTGAATTATACGAGCAGCCGAGATGTCATACGAGCAAGTTTAATCTGTTGGAGAGACGGACGGGAATATTATTCAAATAGAGAGACGGCTCGCACATCTTACGGTCACGTGTGTAGCAACAACATGTCTGCAGGCGCTGAGGTGCGAAACAAATACTATAGGAACACGCTAATTTATTAAAGAAAATCCCGCAAACAGATAAGTTGTTAAGAGAGCATCGTAAGCTTGCGATACCAACTCGTTCCCAAGATCAGGACTTCGTAGAGCGTTAATTAAGCGAAAATCGGAACGCAAAAGACCGAGCCCGTTTTATGCAAATGCGCCGAAATTGACTTTCGTGTCTGTAGACAACATTTTTACCGTCTCAGAGAATTGTTTGGATAGCATCATTTGAAAAGACACTGTCACGTAATTTGTGATTTACTTACTATACAAATTTGTACCAAATTTATCTAATTACAACGTAATTTGGAATTATGATATATGAGTTTCAGTTTTCATTGTAATACATTGAAAATTATAATTTTAAACATGATGGTTCATTTTATTTGTCATGTTATAACATTGCGTTGAAATTTAGAAAATACAAAAAAAACACTATAAATGTTTATTAAAAAGATCATAATTAGTAAGAAAATGAGAAAAATAGCAAAATTATACTCAATTACTCTATACAGACGTAGCATTTATATATATACATATATACGATAGATAAAACTGATGAAACACAATGTATCAAGTTAGCTGAATATAATTCTTGGATACACATTGTATTAAAATTAATAATATCTTTACGAAGATACGGATTACATAGTTATTTCTTTATTATAATTTACATCAATCAAATACTAATTGTACATCACTGTATCGTACATACAGCGTTTAAAACTTGTTATATTCTTAACAATTGACTCATATGTCACATACATTCAAATCCAACCGAACACTAATCTCTAACATTACCGTAAGGCTAGCTAGGTGACAATTTGTCATGTATAGAACGTTTTATCGACGCAGCCGTAAATCTTTGAACCTTATTACGTTGTTATAAAGCATAAAATGCTATGGCCAGTTAACAAACATAGCTATGTGTCGCTCCCGTCGTAATGGACAAATAATGTGCACCTAACCCATTATAATTTTAATGTTATTTGGCTACGAGCAATTATTGTTGATACGGATTGTTTTCGAACAGTTGCTATGCTACTTTTCTCTGAACGTTTTTCTTACTATAACTATAATATTGAAGTCATTTGCCCCCACGTAATAGTTAACTGAGGATTAATACGTCGTTTGCATCTTTTGTTTGTTTTTGGTACATAGTTATAATCTGTTCTGTTGGAGCGTGCGACATAATTTAGTCCATGAAAGACTTAGTTGCCAAGCTTCATAAATAATACACGCCTAATTGATTAGTCGCTGAATGTATAATTGGTAACATTTTAAGCACACATTGTTACACAAATTTGGCAACAACTTACATAATAGCTGGCACATAGGAATTTGAATGACGTTTGAATGGATACGTGTTCTGTTACGCAGAACTATCTTTAAAAGGATAACCTTACTAGGATATGAAAATATATTAAATCTGTATAATCCCTACTAATATAATATAAATGCGAACGTAATTTTGTCTGTCTGTTTGGCTTTCACGCCTAAACCACTGAACTGATTTTAATGAAATTTGGTACAGATATAGAGTTGACCTTGAGAAAGAACATAGGATAGTTTTTATCCCAGACTTTTGAAAGGTTCTCTTGGAAATGCGATATAACCGAACTCGACGCGGGCGAAGCTGCGGTCCGAAAGCTAGTATTTAAAATATATCATACATATTAATAAAAAGATAAATCTAAAAATTCACCACATAATCCATATGAGATGTTAATTTTTCATTAAAATTCCAACAGCCCGTATAAAGTTGATTTAAACAAGTTGGCAACGTTTTTTCTGAACCGAGTTTTAATGTCTCTCAATTATTTAAGAGATGATCAGCTGTCACCGATTGGCACTGAGTTCAAAAATAAGATATAATACTTTGTAACAGACTACAAAGTTACACGCGTTCAGACACAGAAATATAAAGCATTCATTACGTATCGACTGGCTGGGTTTATTAAAATATATATGTATTGACTTTTACTAGCAAATGAAACTAATATTTTCGGATTTTACTTCGCTTTTTTTAATTGTGATTACAAACTACATACTCCCGACGTTACGGCTACTTTTCAGCAACCGTTATCACTGTAAAAACGCGAAGTAAAATCCGAAAATATTAGTTTCATTTAAATGAGTACTATCGAAAATCTTAGAACTCATTATTTTACTAGCATATATAATGTAATATAAGAAATGTTTTTTTCTTTCTCTCGTACAATATAAACAACGACGTAGTATAGATATATGTATGTTGAAGAACACTAATCACAAACAAGACTAAAGCAGGGGAATGACAATTATGAATTCAGCACAGTTCCTGTACTCGAGGTGGTTTTCAAAGGAGCTACTATTACGAAGTCGGCGTTGAAGAGACCGGCTCCTTCCGCGTAGATTTTTATTTGTACCGCTGCATTTAGGGTGTCGCCAGTTGAGAATATTACTGGCTTATAAAGATGGAAACTTATATTCTATATAGCTCATGACGCGGCTTTACTTGCTTTATGTATGCTATATATACTTCATAGTTGTGAAAACATTATATAACAATTAATAATTATAATGGATACTGGCTAAATAAATACGAATTCATTAATCATATGAAAAACATAAATCAGACTTATATGTGGCCCTAATTATAATTATTATAAATGTTTTGTCTGTTTATGTATCAGTGTACCTACTAAATATTTTTTAATGAATCTCATAAATAGGAAGCCGTAATAGAGGCTATTTCTTATTAATACTTTAAAGATAACAAAAAAGTAAGCTAAAAGATTAAGGTTATAATAAACGAATATTAAAATGGACTTTTTATTTATGAATTGTGTAAATATTACAATTTAAATTAAGAGTCTCAGAAGATTATAAATATATTTTTATTATGAAAAAAATCTTAGTTTCAAAGAAACTATTTTACTGCTGTTAAACACGAGCTGTAGTGTAATTTTTATATAGTTTCAAATATATATATCTTCACTAAGTATTCGCAATTCATCTAAACAATATTATTATAACAAATAATATTCATTATCAACTAACATTTGACACTTAAATAACAACACGCTTTAAACTATAACTTGTGAATGTAGTTTCAAAAATGTACAAAAATATCAAGGTATTGTATTATTTCGAAATTATTTTATATATATGTATAATTGAAGATTAATTGTTAATCTATTATTATGATAGTCTATGGCGTGACTGTGATCCGACACGCGAAACAGCCACGTGGCAAGGGAACACATTTGTTATTGTCTATGGTCATCCAAAACTATATTCAATCATTCCTCAAACAGCTGACTCAGCGTCTTATCAACCAGGTGTTGCCAGGCAGTACGTGTGATAAAGCAAATATAACAAATATGGCAACACTGGCTGTCATGGCCCCCTCATTACATGACACGAAATATTTATCCATAAACAATACATCCGACGTTATTGTTACAAATATATGAGGCAGCTAAATAATTGACGTGAAACATTTTGTAATAATGATATGGGTAGAGTTTTGTCTGAAGAATATTACCCCTTGTACTTCAAAGATGTTATTGAAAGGAATATTCTGTATATCTATTTATATGAACATCTAGTCAAAGATCGCTCGTGGTTCACCTTAGCCTAGATTTAAGCATACTTTATCAAAATAGGTAAGATCGTTTAAAGCTATATATGTATAGGCGAGGCGAGGATCGTTTATGATCGACACTATAACACTAGACCATCAAATGTAACACAGAATCCTTGCGTTTGCGTAAAGTCAGCGACTTCTGGTATAATGTAAACGTAAGGTCAACGAACCCGGCCGAACTCTTGTCATACGAGAGGTCAGACTGAGACGCGGTAATTCTATGGCGTTATGAATGGCCATTAAACAAACCGATAGAAAAACCATGGGACACCATCATGACATAACATCCCACTCTATATAAATACTTGAACGCATTTACCTTCCTATACTGACCGAGTTTCGTCTTTTCCTGTTTATAACTCCGACCCCGCCTAAATCCGTTATACGGTTAAATTTACTCTGATTTTCTTTGAAATATTTTATATTAATTTTCATTATTCATTCCGTAAAGTCTCATATATAAAATTGATGCAACAAATGTATTTCATCCCAGAGTACGTATTGATTGAGGCACACGTGATCTCTGAACCAACCCCTTATATATATATAAAACGTGTTCACCTGACGTCTGTACATTGTACACAATATTAGGACGTGACTCCACGATTCCCATCTAAACGATTTTCATCTAAACCTTGCGGGCTTAAAATAAAAAGCATGTTTACCGCATGCCTCATATTGAACAAACGGCTCGGTTCGTGTGATACTTATCGCTTACTTTGTTTGAGTTCACTGTACTATTTATAGAGAATAGTTTCGTTTGAACACGGACGAAGCCATATATGTATAGAATTCAGCGAGTTTTTAGATCCGTTGTATGAACCAGGAGTTCAATGCTCAGTGAGGCTCGAGTAATGAATGCAGCGCCCACGGAGCACTCAATCATCAACCCCGCTAGGGTTGCGCCGGAAGTTTCGACTCGGCAGCCCTTTACATACCCCCGAAAATCACATTTGAACACACGGAATGAACATTACTGAGACACTTGCGACTTTTTAACACTGATTACCTATGAATATCTATGAGAAAATTGCAATAATATCGGTATATGAGACCTAACTTCAATTTAACTAATACTCGAAAAATTATAATTAAATAACGAATGAAAGATTATTAGTAAGATATCAAAAAAGTAATCTTGTGAGCACAGAAGCCTCCAAGCAATAGATAACAATAGAAGTACATAAAATAACTTCAGAACACAATACTGTATGTACCTTGTTGAGGAAAAATTTCAAATGCTTTAATAAAACTAAAGTAAATGATGCGATTATTTTTATACCTTTAAAAGGTATTAACGCAATTGTTTTGGTTTTAAAAAGCATCTATAAAGGACATTTACAGAACGTGTTAATAGTTCCAAAACGACTCTGAACCGACGATTGATGTTTTGATCAATAAAAACGGTCGTTATGGCTTCCATTATGGCACAAAACAGCAGCATTTCAGCATTTCCTTTAATCGTATCGATAATCGAACGTATTCTGTTGTTTGGTGGACAATAGAGCTGGATCCAATATGCATAAAGTCAAAACGAAAAACAAACAAACATATATATTACCAATAAATACTGATATATCAAGCAATACGAGCGGATGAGCCCGCGGTGATATTTTTTAGAATCCTCCAATTAACAACGGAAGATGGCACAAAGATACTAGTGAAGAAATGCGGATTTTGAAGACAATAGCTGTAATCAAGACGGGAAAGACAACCCCCTGCCTTCAACCCCTCCAAACCCCCCTCAACCCCCACGCTCCAGAATTTATAAGCTTGATAAACAACTTTCAAACAATGTTACAAACACTAGAAACCTGCTGTATTAGAACGTTGACCGACAAGGATTTTATGTAACAATTATCATAGAAGAACCTTTGCATTACATATGACATATTAAAGAAATACATTTTATCGTATGTAAAATGATATTTATAGAACATACAAGGACCATTTGAGACTATAACAAGAATATTGAAGTGTACTCAAGAACGATGTTGACGTTGATTTATAAAAATAAAGCTTTATTATTCATAAGCTGATTATGATCGAGAAGTTTTCAAGGAAATTGTTAATAATTGACGAAATTACGGCAAACATTCTTCGTATTTTTTCAGAGATATAAATATACACAGGTACGAAAATAAAACAGAAACTAGGAGAAGAAAATAAAAGAAAATTACGTTAAAAAGCATCGCGACCAAAACGAACGAATAAAATCAAAATGTATATACGAGGCACAAATTCAATTTGCAAAAACTCCCCGCGGGCAGAGATAGAATTACTTTGCACAATCACCTTAACGCATTACGTCACCGAGAGCCGAATATTGTAACGAGAGAAAAAAACAGTCAAGGCCGTTAATGCAGCCCGTTCACTTGCGTTTTCGTGGATCTGGAACAAGCTGAGTGTGATTCGCGCCAAAAGTCAAGGTGAACCGGTACATCCAGATAGCATCGGCTCCATGGGCCCAGTACGAATCGATAGCCGTCCACGCGTCAAAACCTACGCGTCTATCGATGTCAGCACGTGCTCGAGACAATTGATCGTCTCAGATTGCACGAGCGCGAACGAGGTCGGAGAAACTGACCTCAGAATTTCCTTGCAGTTAACAGACAGCTGCCTGCTGAGTCGGTTTTCACAACAATAAAGTTCGATCAACAATAAATACGTGACAGGCTGTAGGAGAAGTAACCCTAAGAAAATACAATGAGACGAACAAGGCGTTAATTATTGACATTATTGGGAAACTTAGAGAATATTTATATAGGCAAGAATGTGTTAAGAAAAAAAAGTATTACACAATAGTTAAAAGATATTTAACGCACATTCATAACGCACGAGATAACTTGATGACAAAAATAAAAAAATATGTATATAAAACAAGAGTTTAAAGAGTTGTAATAAGTTAGAACACGGCCTCCGTCAGACTTCTTTGTTGAGTTGTAAAAGGCGATGGTGGGCAAAAAAAATACACCGTCAAGTTGGCGAAACAACTCAAGCCGCGACGGAGAAAGTTAGAGTGGGGGCAACGAAACAAAAAAACTTAGACGCACATATTGAATCATACACGGAGATTTCATTTGGAAAGTACTTAAATATTATGGACACTAGCTAGTATAAGTACAGAAAAAAAGTGAAACTAATATTTTCGGATTTATTCGCGTTTTTATTTTTGAATTTAAACTACATACTTCCGTTGTTTCGACACTTACATCTCGTCTGTCCGTGATCACGGTTACTGAAAAGTAACCGAAACTTGAATAAATCCGAAAATATTAGTTTCATTTAAATGAGTACTCGCGAAAATCTTAGCTCTCATTACAGCCAAAAAGAACTAAGGCGTCGATAAACCAAATTTTGAAGACATAACACGATTCTATTGTAATTTTCTTTAGTTTTCTTTTGTATTGTAAAATTCTTGTAGGAGTAAGGACACATCTAGCGTATAGCGTGCAGTGTTCTGAGTAAACAATACTGTTTACATTGACCGAAACTGATGTCTGTTTGACATATCGTTAAAACTACGATATCTTATAGAAAAAACATTAGGCAGGCCTCACGTTTTGTTACCTGGATATTAAAGAGTTCATTGACATCAAAAACATGTCAAAAAAAACAAGTACTAAGTTATAAATCATATAATAAAATTGTTTTCTTATTACTACATACTGTATTTAATTGTAATGATAGTCGCTTTGTTTGCAAGCGTCGAACTGGTTTCAATATGATCTTTTATTAAAATACCTTTAACTTCTAGCTGAGAATTCTTTTAAGATCTGCGTGGCTTATTATTTAAGTCAAAAAAATCTCTACTCTTGCATTGCTTTAAATATTTATATAGAAAATTACACAGCGGTAAATTAAGCATAAATGAGGTATAGTTTAAGGAGCATTATCTTCAGTAACATGGTAACGAGGTAGACTTAAACAAGTATGGTTATCTAATTAACATTTTTTATCATTCCACTAATTATAGTTAAGTAGGGCGAGAGACAAAGCGTCTCTGTAACGACAGGATTGTGTTACAATGTCAGTTGTAGTGATGTACACAGTCAGTAGTCTTAATAATAACATAATACTATAACATTCATTTATATCTCGATTCAATTTAAACTCAAAACGCATTAACTAATTACTAATCTATCTTAAACTTAATCGACATCATCTATAGATACTGATTTTAAATATAAAGTACAAAAAATATTATAAATAGAAAATTATATTTAAATATCTCTATGACACAGTGGTCTATGTTTATTCAATATGTAGGTTGCAGTCCACCAAATGATTTAATATAACTCGTTATGGTAAGGACACTTCAGATATTACTTCGCTAACACCTACCAACTTGTATATACAACTTAATTTAATTATTTCTTAATATTTCACCTAATAGTTTTTGCGACTTCGTCTGTTTTAGTTTCAGAATTAGAAATGTATAGCTGAACGGACGAACTCTATTCAATGAAGACAGTAGATAAGAAGATTTTAGATTTGATTAATTTAATTTTTTTTTTCTTTTACAATCGGATGAAATGTATTGTATGTCCTTTCTACGTTCTAAGCAATCTCTCAACCAATTTTCAATCAAACCCGTACAGCCATTCTTGAGTTGTAAATAGCATAACTAACACGACTTTTCTATTAATGAAGATTAAATAAATTCTACTTTATTCTGTGTTTTATTTAATAAGAAAGCCGAATAGTCATTAAGTCATGTGTCGAATATTACACAAACCGGCGGAACGTAACGGTATTTTATGAAAATGTTTGCATACTCTATCTAGATGTTTAAACCATTATCCAAAACTGTGTTTAGTGTTTACGTTTGGAAATAGTTCGCGAATTCATAGCAGCCTCTCTCGCATCTAAAACGAGCGGTAACGGTTAAACGATATTTCTTATCACTTAATATTATTTTATTAAATCGCTAACTCTAACATATGGTATATTTTGTCATCAATTAATCTTACTACTTCCTAAATATACTTTGCTTATATGCATTTCTTTTATAAAATCGCTACACGATCCGCTTCAGCTCATCAGCGTCACTGTGAACCAACCCTAGCCGTATACTTTGGATTGCTTCCAAATTCACCTGCATACCATCTCAGTAATATGAATATTATAACTGCCAAATGCAATAAAGATTTTATACTAACCTATGTCATAAAGGTAGTTTTAATAAAGGCCGCGTATGCACCAGACATATGTTACTACGTTTGTCTAATGTACTGTATTTTGTATGTATGTTTGTATATGACACTCTACTTTGTAATATTGCAAGCATAATTAGCTGTACACTTTTTTCAACCGAAACTGACTCTTATTTAACGTAAAACGCCTAACGGGAAATATTTTATTACTATACTAATACTTTAATATTCTTAGGAGCGTTTGAGTGATTTTCGTAACTTATTTTAAGATGAAAACACATCTAAATTAGTTTTTCTACCTGCCCAAGTATATCTTCTACCGTTAGAGAATGCATCTTCGCATCAATACTAAATCAAATCTTATCGATCTTTTGTTTGTATAAAAACAGATCCTATTTGGGATAAAACAAACAAAAACAAAGGACATTTTTGATAGCAAAAACAAAACAAATAAAATCAACTACATACTAAACATCCCAAATTTCCCGCTCGCAGCATCCCCAAGGCTGAATATCAATAAACCTTATCATAGGTATTGTCAACGAGGGATACCGACCCGCTGATACTGACGGGCTTCCTCAATTATATATAATACTAATAATTACACTAAATGTTATACATTTTTATCTTAACTAGCTCTACGACGCAGCTTCACTCCAAAATCTATTCACTCGCCATATTTCTTAATTCAAACATATGCTTTAATATAAGCCTTTTTTTTCCATAAACGCCTTTTTCACGATAATCGAAACTAAAATTATTTTATGTATTAACTACAAAAAGTGTATTTGAAATACTCAATTAGTTATCACCGTTTTACGCATCTGGTAACTCGAGGGGACTATTATTGGAGATCTGGCAGATTTTTGTCGAACGAGTGAACTCGTGAGGGTGGTAGGCACGAATATTTTGGGTCAATAATAAATATATATGATTTCAAACCAACCCGAAGTATAAAATTTGATATATAAAATTTGAAGCTCGTTTTTATATCATAATTGAAGACAATACTCTACGGAAACGTGCTTGGTATGAAACATGACTTTCTAAGTCGCCATTTCACTCGGTTCACAATACAAATGCATATATAATATATACCTAAGTACGCGTTCAACAAAACTAAGCAATTATTAACACAAAGTAAACCTCAAGTGACTGTCTCGTTGAAGATTTCGCTAATAACAGATCTGTAGAGCCATTAATTGCAAAGTTTCAATAGTAGCGGGAGGCCGAGCGAACAATGGACGCTAATTTATGTCCTATTATTACAGCATTAAGATGTAGATTACTGTGCATCTACGAGCGGCCTGTTAAAACCGATTGTACGTATTCTTATATTTACCGAGTCGATCTCAGACAGCGATATATCACTAAAGTGTTTAAGGAAAGTTCCTGCTAACTGCAAAGATCCATTACTGTTTAAGAGTTACGGTAAATTTGCGTTGTAGGTCCCTAACAGTCGCCTTCCGTGAGACTTACGAGAATATTAATAAAACGTTCAGTAAATTATATAAATAATGTGGCATAAGAGACTCGAGAAGCACCTACATCCTCTGACATGGTGTATGAGGTAAAAATATAACGGTTACACTAACAAGTACGAAACTATATATTCTACTATCTCGAATATTCTAGAAGCATGTTAAAATGTTTACCAAGTGACTTCTTAAACAGTCCGCATGACATTTTAAAGTACAAATAAAAATAAAGTATTGTAAAGGGAGTTAAAAATCACGTTTGCAACATGTTCAACGAGATCTGATAATAACACAAATATATTTATATAAAATGAAAGGATTTGTTTATACTTGAAGAAGCTTTATATTCTATACAATCTGTACAATGATTGGGCATGATCTGTCTCCTGTAGGAGAATACCAGAGCATTGATAATTCAAATTAAATTTACACTATACTAAGAGTAAAAATGCCAAAATACTAAAGAACCACTTTCGTAAACATCATAAAATGTCATACTTCTTTTTCTTCACTAGAATATACAGACTAAGTATTGAATCAAACGTGAAAACGAAAAACTCCTTACGATAAGTACGTAAGTAATAACTCAGTAACCCGCGTCACCGACTTAAATACCAACCATTCATATATTTAATCCCCAATTATAAAGCACAATAATTCTGAACGTCAAACTGTCAGTTTCAAGGTTAAATATAAGATAAACGTGATGTAAGAGTAGTATATTTAGCTCGTATTATATTTGCTTTTTGTCAGACCCGTGTATTAACAATACAATGTAAGGAAATACATGAAGTGCATTTAACGAACACAAGTATATTGCTTAGAAATCAATTACACAACACTGATAAGGAGATAAGTAACGGATCAAAAACCATACTTTTGTATATTATAAATAACTAGCTGCGCCCCGCGGGATTTCATATACATAATTTCATCAAAATCAGTTCAGCCGTTTGAGCGTGATGAAGTAACAAACAAACACACACACTCACAAACTTTCGCAATTATAATATTAGTAGGATATTAAAAATTTCTTAACTCAGACCTCAACAATAATTTATCCAGGGACTACATTGAAAGTTATGTTTCCTATATATATGTTATATATCTTAATATATAAAAGATATATATACAGTCGATCTTCATGCAGATCACGCCTCACCGTATCAAGTCTAACCATCGGTTACCGTCGAGTTAACCTTTGCAATGTCAAAACATAATAGAATTAACAGATTCACATCTAAAACAGATAGTGATGTGACATTTGACGGAAAATCCCCAGCAGGCGCGTCACTAGTCACTCACGAATTATTTACTTATCGATATAAACAAAATAATATTACTAATACGATAAACGTCTTTTGTTTACACGTTCCAACGGATTTTTACTAAACTGAAGTAAGAACATATTAAAATTATTATATTATTACCTGACCACAGCTTATTAGAATAGTTTGCACAGTCTTATTAGTATTTTTATATCAATTGTTTTGTTACCAAAGATGCGTCAACAATCTTTAACGATAGTACGAACATTGAGATAAAATTGAGCATTTCACGAGTACTTTACTTCAGTATAATTAAACTAATGAGCTTATTTAATGTGTAACATAGAGACTAATATACACCATAAGTGATTTCAAGGTCACAATCATGAGGTATCAAGTTAAACTTTGCCACGCCACAAGTCGAGGGCTTAGCCACAAAATATCGATTATATAAAAAGCCACAAAATAGCCACAAAATATTGATAATATCAGTGAATCATTACAAAATATGTGTTAATAAAAATCAAGGTTAAAATAGGTACATTCACTTGTCATTGTAAGTCATAACGAATTATACAGTACAATGCATACACTACAGATATTGACGTGTAATAGAAATACGAAGGTGACCTACAAATCGATATTTGATTATATACATTGTCAAAATTATCAGAAGCACGAGTCGACATTGTATAGCGAGACAAAGAACCGGGCTTCAACATCTTCACTGTCAATAGAATATGTACGACGAACTAATAACTAAACTCATATATAAGATATTTAACGTAACATATACAAAACAGTAATAAACTAAAACATAATTAATAATTTCTAATGTAATAAAAATTTTTTGCGAAATACGCTCAAATTAAAATACAATTAATAATTATATATGTATAAGTAAGATTTAGTTACGAAAAATAATTTTCTTAAAGAACCAAGAATAGTTAACAGTTTTATTACACAACTCTGTATGATGATCATCGTGTCAAATCACAATCATCATATATTATTTGGAGTGACGAATATATTTAATATATTTTCATGTAAGCAACTTTTCTTAGTCATTTGTATCGGATAGCGTCATTATTTCCTGTGCAATCGTTAACACTACTCAACAATTAACAAGCCCACACGAGAAACGATAGTTACAACATTATACATATATTTTTTCAACGCGACATAACCAACGGAACAGCTGATTGGTAAAAACATTTGTTTACTTTCCAATAACGTTACACAGTCAGTGATAACGACTGACTCACTAATTGTGTCGTTTCGTACTCGTATATTAGCAAATTTTTTTGTGGAACGTGTATCACAATCAAGGTCGCTAGTGTGTACAGTTGTAAACAACTCACCTGTTTTTTTCCAATTCGTTATGCGTGGTCCTGGAACAGAAAGCATACAATTGGTAACGTCCACGCCACACTCGCGACACTAACTGAACGAACACTATGATAGATCACATCACACTATCACGGCACAGCACTAACTCACCTGCTGCCCTGAGATTTCTTCGTCTTGGGTCTCCTTCCTCCGGTCCGGGATTCCTCGTACGCCGGTAACGAAGCGTAACCGTGTTCAGATTCTGCAATAAAAAAAACTGCAATTCCGTCAAAATCAGCTGATTACGACGAGGCAAAAATAGACGGGAGCCATGTTGACGTGTGCGAGTAGTGCACTCGATTGACAATTCAAACAAAGAAAATCCAATTCACCTCTGTCTCGCCTTTCGATGTATTCAGCGGCTTGGATCAGGTCAGCAATACTCATATTTATAAAATCCCGTTATCACACTGGTGTTCACGAACGTAACACGAATTTATTCAATTAAAAACTATAAATAAAAGTATCTCTATACGCTCCGAAGTTCACGACTGCATTTACCGATGTCAAAAACACACTAGGCGAACGAGACGCGGCCGGCGGCCATGCTCGGCGGCCGTTCGGGCGGACTCGGCTATCGTCGGCGAGCCAATCGGAGCGAGCGATCGCACAATAAAATACCTAGGTCAATCACGTGAACTTTGTATTTCAAAACAAAACATTTTTTTTTCTATACGCTAGCATTCGCAATGTTCTGTTCTATGTCTATTTTAGCTATTTCAATAGACTTTAAACCGAGATTATGACTAATATTATTAATATATCCAATACTTATTAGAATCTGATTACTGCTTTCCTTTATTATGTAGAGATTTCCAATTAATTCGATGATTACATATTCCCAAATCTAAAGGAGTACCAGAAGACAAAATAAATACTGTATACATTTGTGAAACGCTTTTAATGTTTAATATTGTTAAACACATTTTTAATGTGTCGTTTAATATAATAAGCATATGAATTCTCGCAAACATTATTGGCAGTAGATGTTTTCTTGGTTCCTTAAACAAGACAAAGATTAATTCAATATTTTTATTCTATACAATAAAAACAAACACTCTAAATCTGCGATAATCTGTATAAAATCTCTTGTCATGATACATACATATCTTATTGAAGTTTTTTAATTAATTTTCTATATAAATATCTTTTAAGTAAATAATTATATAACTTACCGTTAATACCCTGACACGTCTGTAATACTGACTGAACACTTTGACCATTCCGCTCAGAAAGTTACAAATAAGATGAGGTCTGAATTCAAATACACCATTCATATCTACAGTGTTTCTTATAAGAGACGCCACACCCATTACATATGTGAATATAATACACCATTCATCCTGTTGACAAATATAAAAATTAGTCAATTATAATTATACATTTAAAAAATATTTCATATAAATAAAGTATTTTATGACCATAATTGTTATAGAAAAAAGATATGTATAACAAAAAATATGGTTGTAAAAAACAATTAGCCCAAACTATTTACAACATGTAAGACAGACCCTGGCTAAAGCTGGGAAATTACCAGGAACAAGAAGAAGAAGATATATATAATAAATGCAATAAGAAAAATGCCAAAAGCAAATTTTTCAACAATCATTTTCCACAACATATATATGTATAGATTAAAATATTGTTTAATACTTGATATAAAGTTATTTAAAAAAAAATACATTTACAGTAATACTTTTAATAGTAAAATTTACTAAATTATGGACATGATAGCTGATTCTTTAATTTGACTAAATACAACATATGTATATGACATATGTTTATATGCATATTTGTAATTTCACAATCCAAATTGATTCAATAATCCTTACTTTTAGTTTCATTATATATTAAAATATTACTATTTCATATAAAACCTAAAATTTAATACTCATATAAAAATATATTTACTTCATTTACACACAAATGTTGCAGAAAAGGTAACCTTAATTATGTGCATAATCTAATAGCAAATTAAGAGATAAAAAATAATGTCTGATGTAAAATTTCATTAATAAATAATATTATGTGTAGGATTTATGCAAATAAACATTATATACTAGGTACTAGATTAAATAACTAGAAAACTACTTAAATAGCTTAATTAACTAAGATATAATCCTATATGTTATACAAATATATATATTTAAAATTTAATTGTTACTTAATATTACCTCATCCGTAAGTAGTGATAAGTCTACATTATCAAGGCTCGGTAAATCTGGATAACTGCCGTCTGAGACCTTCTCGTTGAATGTACGAATCATAGTTTCCAATCTAGCACAATTATACAGTATGAATGCAGCACCTGAAATTATAACATTTTATAATTAGAAAATTTATTTAACAGAAAAATTTACAAAAATTTGCATGAAATTTTTAAATAATAGGGAGCTGTTATTTACAAATAGATATTTATTTTGTTTACAGGTTTCTTAATCTTTATCAAAATTTATTTGTTGAATGTTAATTAATTACTTATCTGCCCTAATGAGATCTAAGATTTTCACGAGTATCCATATAAATGAAACAAACATTTTCAGATAATTATGAATTATTTTTTGTATAAAACGGTTGCTGCGAATAACTGATACTTCGGGAGCATCTCGTTTTTTTTATGTAACAAAATAACACATAGTAATTCGAAAAATATTTGTTTCGCTTATTTACCTTTACTTGAGCCACCAGAAGCATCAAAGTGTACCTTGACGGGGCCGGATGATCTTGTTTGTAACATCTCAAATGCTACGGCCGACTCGCCTAAATGTGCTATAAATTCCCTCCATTTAACATCAGTGGAAACTCTCACACCATACTTATGTTGAGCTATTAATGTCATCTCATCTTGTCTTACTCTGAAAAGACATAAAAAAATATTTATAAAATTAATAAATCAGATTTAATTTAAGAGAATTATAGTAAAATGTATGAAGTTTTAGTTTTTATGTATTGTCCATTGCTGTAGAGGAAAAAAGGTTGAGGTTACATGTATCGAAACTCACTTAATATATTCTTCAGCTGTAATTAAATTCTCTTTCAATCCAGTTTTTGAATTTAAGACAGTCCCGCAGAACACTGTCCTGTCATTATCATTATGTCTGCTTGTTACCAAGATATTTTGATCTTCATCTATATCATTTACCAAACATAAATTCTTAACTACTTCTGTTAAATATTTTAAACGCAAATATGTTACACTACCATCTTCGACGCACTTTGGATCTAAGCTTACTGTATTAGTAACTTTATTTAGCTTATGTAAAATTAAGTTATTATTTTTTAGTGCGGACTGTAAACCGATCCGAATAGCTTTAGGTCTATCCAAAAACAAATGAATTCGGTTATTTAACTCCGTAGCTTTCACTACTGATATTTCCCAATTTTGCGACGCTTGAACAAAGTCCGAAACATTTTTGTTAATAAATTTCAAGAATGTTTTGTCTGAATTATTTTGTAATTCTTCAGCGTTCAATAGCTCTTGCCATGATTTCACAGTATTAGGAAAACTTAAATCACCCAAATTTACCAAGTTGCCGGAGTGTTTTTTTATTAAAAGTCCATGCACATATTCTTCTTTTCCAACTAGATATTTGTATAAATGACTTATAAAAACACTTATATCATTTTGTAACATTCTTATAAGAAAGTCACGATTTTAGTTTATTAAAAGATCAAAACCACATGTTTCTTATTTTCAAACCATATAGTATTTAAGTTTCAACTTCAACGTGTTGTCAATACGCAATTTTGACATCTTAATTGAATAAAGATTTATTTTTTCCTTATATTATACAATATTTCAATATTATTATTAAATTCAAAAACTCAAATATTGTTTAAATATACATAATTATTCTTTTAAAAACAAATTTTCGAAATTTTGCTTTCGACATGACTGCTCGATCACATAAATTAGCTGACGTCGACATGACGTTGACACTTGACAACATTTTGTCCAACAGTGACAACCAGCTGTGCTCTTAAATAAGTGATATTATAAGTAAATTAAAAACATATTTTTTAAGAAACTAGTCATATTTATTGCATTTATTAACACAGATAAGAGTATGTTTTGAAAATGCCTTCATATATTACAAGTTTTATTTTCACATCATTAGTATGTCAAGTAACAGTGGTTTTCGCACATGATCACCTACTTGAAGGTATTTATTGTGGTAAAGAAAACTGTTATAATGTTTTGGGTGTTACAAGAGAGGCTACAAAGAGTGAAATATCCAAAAATTATAGACAACTGGCGAAAAAATACCACCCAGACAAACATCGCGGCGAGCAAGAAAAAAAAGAAGCCGAAGAAAAGTTTAAAGAAATAGCGACGGCTTATGAAATACTAAGAGACGATGAGGAAAGGTCTGACTACAATTACATGTTAGATAATCCACAGGAATACTATGCCCATTATTATAGATATTACAGACGCCGCATGGCCCCGAAGGTCGATGTTCGAATTGTTTTGGCTGTGACAATTACTATTATATCTGTTATACAGTACTACAGCGCGTGGTCCAAATATGACACGGCTATCAAATATTTTATGACCGTACCCAAGTATAGGCACAGGGCATTAGAAAAAGCGAAAGCTGACAATATAGAAATACAAACAAAAGTTAAAGGCCCTAAGAAGAATAAAGCAGAGATAAAAGAAGAGCAAGATAGGATAATAAGAAAAATTATTGAAGAAAATATGGACATAAAAGGTGCTTACGCTAAACCCGAGATAACAAATATACTATGGATACAAATTATAATACTACCCTACACGATAGCTATGTTCATTTACTGGTATCTTAGATGGTTCTGGAAATTCACGTTATTAAAGCATCCTTACGGGGAGGAAGAGAAGTTATATATAATAAGAAAATTTATGAAACTCGGCCAGTATCAATTCAATGCTTTAGAAGATGATGAGAAACAGGAATTTTTAGACGAGGAATTGTGGATAAAAGAGAACTTTGATGTATGGAAGGAATTAAAAGACGAGGAAACCAAAAAGGCCTTAGCAGATAACAATAAATATAAACAATATAGAAGGTATATTAAGCAGCACGGGGTCGGAAGAATGACCTTTGACGACTCATGATGTTCGATAATAATATTTTTTGAATCTATATAAACGTTAAAATGTACATTAAATTTTATGAAACAACCCACAGATAAATAAATTGTTAAAGATGACAGAATACAAATAAAACAAATTTTATACACAATTCAATATTTTATTTCTTTATATCTATCCTTCAACGTACTACAATGATGTAACCAGATTCACATTCATCACAAATTGCACGGTAAGGCTTTCTAAGGTCACACAGTCAAGCACACAATATAATGCTGTGTGTCAGGTGGAAAAAACAATTTAGTTGACTGAGTGCAAAAAACTAAATTAAGGTTATGTAACACAATTGATTATTAAATATAGCAAAATAATTTGAAAATAGCCCACTCAGTCAACAAGTCAAACAAGAAATGAAGTAAATAATGGTACTCGTCAAAATCATAAAAATAATAATCTCTCGATCAAACAAACATTAGAAAATAAGTGGCAATAAAAAAATTCTTACAACAAATAGGCCAATAAAAAATACATCGAGATCCTTCTATCGTTTACCCTTCACAACACACTATACAAATAAACTTATATATTTTCTTGCAATGGCAGTGCATTTAATATTAGTTCATTTTAAAAGGAAATTTTTATAACATTTATAACAACTAAATCGTTGTAAAATAAAAATAATACCGTTCAAACAAATGGAATGATTACAAATGAAGACAAAACATTATTATGAACAAAATATCTAGCGGACTTATTTACTACGCTACATGTACTTCTGCATTACATATATTATGCCGATCGTAATTATAATAATCATATCTTTCAAACTATATAACAGAGCAAATTATTTCATGAACTGTATTGTACATTTACAAAACTTGTGCTTTATACCAAAAATCGATTCTATGTCACTTTATTGTAAGCAAAGTGCTATATGTAAATCGATGAATTAATTATAAAAAAAAACTCACAATCAAATGGCAACTCTTAATCGATTTAAATTTAATGTAAGTAGAATCGATTTTATTTGTACATACAGTTCGATACTTATTTATTTACATGTAACTTTACACCGATACACAAAAATTCAATCGCGTGTAGACATCTCGCTTTATTTCATTAATTTATAAAAATAAGAGCGAGTTAATTCCATCAATTTATTTCTATCTACATATACAGTATACACAAAATAATGTTTCTAATATCGTGATCATATATTGCTTAAAATCGCAGAGACATGTAAATCGATTTATTTTTAATCTGTTAGATGTCGCTAGTAAAAGCACCAAATGTATTTGTTTTCATATATTGAACAGTGATATTCTAATGTCTATCTATATTGTTGATTATAATTAAAGCTTTTAAAAGGATATTGTTAAGATGCTATAATATATTTATTAACAGTAATATGTCGTGAATTTAATCAACCCTTTCAATAGCTACATGTTCCCGAACATTCTCTTTGCGTTAAATACTTTCATCTTTCTTATATGTGAAAAAAGTTTCCCGAAATAACAAAATAGTCAATATTCACAATTTAATCTATCAAAGTTATATATCAAATCTTCATAGTCTCTCATCCTTAGCCGAATTTAAAAATTTAACATTCTATGATATCTACGTTGATGTGATTATGTACATAGTTTTTTATCACCTTTTAATTTTTATAAAAAAAAGTTTTTCTCAGGTAATGGTATGTTATAGTTTGAACACCATTTATGTATAGACATATACAGTTCGGTTCGCGTCGTAATAATGTTCGTTAAAATCATTACCATCGAATGCATGTATGCACTAGCGGCCACGATTCCGCGGTAGAACCGCTAGATGCAATGCTTGCCCTCAAACGGGTGTTTCGTGATCTGTTTCGTCGATTCGTCCTAAACGCCACGCGTTGGGATCTGTCGCTAGAAAAAATATATATTCTGTTAATGACAACTGTCAAATTTGGCGCCATACCAAGTCGTGGATTAACATAAATTGCGAAATTATTGTGAAACTAGAAGCGGCAAATTAAATGTGATGAAATGCGGTTTTATAGGATATGTGTTCAACAAAACGGGATTAAACTTAAATAAACAAACAAATTATGTACATATTTTTTTTCAACTTGCTTTTTGTGAGATATCAGCAAATAAAATCTCTTTTTTTTATTTTAAATCATTGGACAGCTTCTTGTGATAGCTTGCATTTGGTAATAAGTTAGTGCGTCATCATTGGGACGTTTAACTGAGATTTTGTGACAAAATAAACAAAAAAAAACAAAATTACCTGGACATTGTCGATCTTCCAACATGCTTACGGATTATGGACTTTAAGGATAGGGCTTTTAGGATTATAATTAATTAATTATATTATAAAGCTTTAAATATACCTTAATTTAATGAAATGAAGGTAACAAGATTTTTAAAGCATCGGGGTCAGGTCAAGATACACAAAACTTGTTCAGCCATTTTGTTAAGTTGAAGTTAAAATACTTAATGATATTTATTAAAATCTTAGTCCAACAAGAAGCAAGTTGAAAAACTATAATTATCATAAAGCTATTTGTGCAGTTTACAAATATATTCTACCAAAAATGACTAAGCCAAGCAGGTTTATCTCGACCCACATATAGTTCACAAGTAATTAAATAACATAGGACTAGGAGAATACATGCATATAAAGATTGTATCTGCTGCCTTAAATACATATAATTATGATGTAGCTGTTTTATAACTAATATTTACCTTAACACATTTTTTAACACCTAGTAATACTAATTATGAATATGTGAATTTTTTTAATAGATGATATAATTAGGAGTTTACTTGTAATCTTAAAGATTATAATAATGATATTATGTTGAATTCAAATCTGTAGAAGTACTGATTAAATATATGTAAGTGAAAAATAATTTTAGAAAACGAATTTGAGCAAAAATATTAGTCAAATAATATCAAAATTATCACAAATACACTTCATACATCCTTACATATGGGGAGGGACGGAGTAGGATTAAAATAATATAAAGACAATCTTAACATAACATAAAATGACTTAATGAGAGAATTATATACTTATGTATAATGTCAGATTAATAAAAAAAATACATAAAAATTTATTAATTAAGATTGTCCGAGGCCAATATGTCCATAATTTCATTATATTCAACCAAAACCATGTATAATATTGGGTATGTCAGGAATTGTTAGTTATATAGCATAGGGGTTACAATATGGTGTTGGATATGGTATTACGGGTTCAATATTAGGGGTCAAGGTTCAGATGGGTTCGATATGAGGGGTCTAGGTTCAGATTTGGGAGTTCCGTAGTTCAGCAGGCGTGGGAGGGCGTCGCACGCAGCAGCGGGGCGTGTTCCCCTGCCGTCACACGAGCATACAGTACAAATACAGACGGAGAAAACACATTCATATTGAATAACACACAAATTGTACCAACAAGACTAATACTTGATACTTGAGGCATTACAAATAACTTAGTCGATGAATTCTTGGTACTTAAATGATTTAAATCTTCTACTTTTGTTATTATTTATGTTATTTCTTTGATTTGAATTTGAATGTTATTCATTATAAATGTGTCTGATATATTATGTAAATGATATTGAAGCACTGCAGTTACTAGTATGTATAAGCTGAAAAAGCTCTGCGATACATCTTATATTTCTAATGCGTTTATTAAAACCATTACTTTGAATGCCAAAATACTTCCTACGGTCAAATGAGTTATCATGCGAGGCATAATAAATTTTTTATAGTTAATTTTATTTAATATATTATTTTTAATTATATCTTATCAAAAAATATAAAAAAAACTTCTTTGAGAGTAGTCTGGAATTCATTTTCAATTGAAACCAGGTTTTAATTGAAAATTGAGAAAAATGAGAAATCTCAAAGAAGTTTTGCCTAAATATGTTTAAAAGTTTATTTTATTAAGTATTTAATAAACTCATGCACACTTTGAACTACACAATGATACATGTATAAAAATATTAGTAAATATCAAATCTAATACATCTAGATCATAATATTAAATGAAGCCAAGCAATTGATATAAACCCTCATTAATTTTCATTTTGCGACATAGAACTAACTCTATATTTTTAATAAATTAGACAGAGATAGCAAATCCCACAACCGGCAAGTCAATAGATTTTTCTAGAACTGTTACTTTACAAAGCAACGAGCTAATAACGACTTTATTACATGACATTAAAGGTTATATTACTTTATAGGTGTTATTTTAGTAGAGCAAAAATTAAAAACTAGACTTTTGAATGATAATAAAGTCGATATTACCATGCAGCTTGAATATAAACTCAATAAGCATGTACCTTGCAAGCTGATTTAATGAAATAAGCTAGTTACTTGGTCGTAGTAAAGCTATGTAAACAAATAAATTGACATCGACCTTATGTAGTAATAAATAAGTGTCATTTTACCTTGCAGCTGTCTGTTCAATAGCGCGGTTATTCCAGGTCCATCCCCAGCTTTCTTCACAACCAACATGGGTTTATCTTCTCCCTCCTCATAGCTGTTTGGTAAGTGACCGTTACTGACAGACATTGTTTCGCTCACCTGGAAATATATATAGAAATATTAAATATTGAGTTAATAGAAGTTACGGTTTCTTGGGAAACCAAAATCCCTAAAGACCATGCCATCAAGGTCAAAAAGTATCACGAGAGAAGTGGGAGCTAGAAGTATATCAGCTAAATTTCTCTACAACCTACTAAAAGACTTGTGCCTATCCAGAACTCATCAATTCATTCTTAGAGCGTACTTTTAAGGCAGCCCTAGTAGGTTCTTATCAAATTTGGTTAGGTAGAGAGAGAAGCTTGGACTGTGGAGGTGAGCGTATAACTCGTTAGATAGGGTCCCTTAAACCTAAACCTGGGTCGCAAGTCCCAGGCACTGTTGAAGCTCCTCTCATTACAACGATGGACCCGACACCCGCACGGTGAATACATTGAATGATGAGAGGTTTCATTTCTATAATACGTTTGACATATCTCTCTCACTTTCATCGTCACCTCATGACTGAGAGAAGTGATCTTGGCGGAATTTATCTCAACGATGACAATAATACCATGGCTTGCAAGAATTCACTTCAACAGGTTCTAGTTAATAATAATAGCATAGGTTTCCTCAACATTCGACATTCTACAAAAAATACATATTTTTTATTATAAAATCCTAAATTTTGCAACTAGATCATGATCTAGTTAAATAAAACCATTGTTTTTGATAATATAATAAACTATAGAAGACAGGTTAATGAGATGTATTAACATTTTAAATATTCAGGAACAAATATATATAAAAAATATGAACTGAACTATTTATTTGCTTTTTTGGCCAAAATATCTGCAGTATGGCGCAGATCGTGCTGATGTTGAAGGTCGCAACTTTCATCTCACCAATAACGTGTTGAATAGAAAATAAATTGGCATTCAATAACCAAATAATAATAATAATTGGCGGACAATAAAAAATAATTTCAATAGTACATAAATGATTATATCTTTATTATATATTATATAATTCTTCTGTGAGTGTGTATGTCACTGAACTTCTCTCAAACGACTGAACCGATTTTGATGACTTTTTTTTGGGTGTGTTCAAAGGGATCTGGGAATGGTTTAGATTCACATTTTCTCCGCTGGACAATGTTTTTTTAATTAATTTTTATTTTATTAGTAGTTGTTGATACAAACGTTTTTTTTGACATTAGATTTGACAACTTACTAATATGTCAATCATTCTGTCGCACTTCAAAACACGGAGATTTATGGTTATTAATAGGTAAACTCCAAAAATATAAATAAAAAAACGTAACAGATATTTCTTGATTATAGGGAGATACGAAGTTCGCCGGGTCTTCTAGTTTATATATAAAATATTTCGTTAAAATCAATCGTATTTCATTGCTATTTGATACATGGCTGTCATTTCATCAGTACAACTTACGCGTATGTAGGTCTATCCTAAAATGGTTGTAGAAAACAAAGCGTACTGCATCACATAACGATACAGGGAAGTGTGTTCGTGTGTGTGTACAATGCATGTATGCATTTTTTGCATGTGTGTATTTGATTGTGTAATATTAATATTGCAAAATTTTTTGAAGATCCTTACACATTAAGTTGTTTATGTGACAACAGAAAAAAATATTAAATAATTTATTGTGTGACTAGATTTATTAAGCCATATTGGAGCACTGAGGACATATTTTCTATGTTAATTTTATAATACGGTAACGACAAATGACTTACTAATAAAATGCAAATACAAATACTATTGGTAAAAAACGGTGTCATGGAACTACTTCTCTAGCGAGAGGTTCCGCGACAAAGGACTAGTGCTACATACCTGCATCAGTTTATGAACGACGTCTCTTCCTAGAATATGATCGAATACAGCCTGCAAGAAAGCATCCGACATGATGGACAGCTTTAGTTTGTCGCGATGCCAGACCAACACACGAGACTCCTCCATCGCCATTATGGACACCTGGAAACATTACCAGCTTTAATGCAGATCATTTGTTGACATTAATCCTTCTATAATGAACCACTTATACATTTTGGCATTATGCCAATTCGACACTACGATTACGAAAATAAAGATATAAATAAAATTCTGCAACATACGGAAATGGCCAAAAAAGATAACGCGTCCGTCAAAATGAGTGAATGAATTATTTTATAAAGTAATACACAGATTTACTCCCAAACAAATCAGACAGATTAGGAATCAGCTTATAAATCTTTAAATTAACTTTGTTTACAAAAAATACCTATTCTATTAAAATAAAAAAGTCGTAATATTTTGAAATAATGCATGGGCTATTAAACTTAGTCAGCCCACCTAAAGTTCCAAGTTATTTAGCATGTATTTCAGTCCACAATAGCGAAGTGGCTTCCGATTTCACGATACGTCAACCTCATAGTTATTCATTTTGGATTAAAGTTATCGTGAAAACTTTTCGTATAATTTGAACCGAGAATTCATTCGTCAACTTTAAGCTGTATTTAAATTACAGAATTTAAATCCATCACGTTTATTTTTAAGTGGAAAATTTAACAGCCGTAGCATTTTAATTGCCAAAAAGGTTTTTGTGTCGTAAAGTAGGACAAGTTGGTCATATAAAGTTTTTGTTAATAACGTAATCCTTTAGGGACTTTTAGTAGCAAAATGGGAAAGATGTTTCGAGATACTTCACTCACATAGAATAAGAAATCGAGTAAAATAAGATAAAATATGGGTTTTTGGACAAGGAATTTGTTGAAAATATATGAAGGTGCCTATATGTTAATATACCTGGAAGAATTCATCCGTTGAAACCCCAAACCACTCCGGGGAGTCCAGGAAATGGTGTGGGAACACGATATGCAGGGCTCGCTGGTTCTGAGATACCACCAACCTGGAACGAAGATGTAAACATACAGACTCTAGAAATATACCTATAGCACTTCTTACTTATTCACTTACTATAAGTATAAGAAGACATTATCGTAAATTAGGGAGTTGGTTAAATAAGTTGTATGTTTTTTTTGTTGCGTGTATTTTTGTGTGTATCGTTTGTAACTCTATTCTTAAGCGTGTGTGAAATTGTAAAACTGACTATTGACGTATAACTCAGGACACTAACGAGTTTGCATAAAGAAACCAAATAAAGACAAAATTTTAGTTTATACTTCACAAATTATCCTAAAAATTTGATGCTATGTGTAGTTAAGTCTATGATACAAACTCGCGGTAAAAACACAGAAGGGAGAAGATTTCTAACTGTAACTTCGTAGTCAAATATTCTTAACAGAATTTTACATATTGTTTGACAATTTCGACAATAACGAACAATGAAACAATTGATGTTTACAACGTGTCACAACAAACTTCAAAGGGTTGGTTTACAAAGCAACCAATATCGGTACGTGTATATGAAACTCCTACTCTGTACTTCTTTACATTAACGTTAAGTAAATGATATAAATACATATACTAAAATAGATAATACATATTTACAAAAAACTGGTTCATTTTGGTGGAATTATAGTTAATGATGTTTCAGAAGTTATAGGTCTAAATGAAGGTCGGATGGATTAACTTTTTAGTGTACATTTTATTTTCATTATATTTATTCATTATACACGATTAAGAGAGTCGCTTAAGATTAAAATTAATTCATAAAAAGATTATGATAAATCTAAGGTTATTGAAGTCACTTTTTGTCCGTAAATGAGTAATATAAACACTTCCATACTAAACAAAAGATAATAAAACTCATGTTATAAATACTAGTACAAAAAAAATAGAAAACAAAACATCATCTTGCTCTAATCTAGACCAACCCTTTTGTTAATCTAAAAAATACATATTTAGCAAAACAATAAACAATAGAAACATAAACAACGCACTTATTAAGTGTAAGCAACGCCCGGATAATTAAAATGTGAATAAAACAGAACAAAAAACAGTGAAATTAAGGGTCATCGTAAATATTATATCGAAAAACAGTTATATTGAGGCGAAACAAAGGGCAAGCTGGAAATTATTCAATAAATAAAAAGTACCGTCAAGCTTTTAAGCCAAGGAAATACACTTAAAGTGAATTTACTTCAAGAATTATTAAACAGTTGATTATTTTAAACTTATTGAGTCATCTTAATAAAAACTAATATTTTCGGATTTACTAAGCGTTTTTATTTTTGATTATAAACTACATACTCCTGACGTTTTGGTTACTTTACAGCAACCGTGATTACGGACAGACGAGATTTGAGTGACAGCATTCATTTTAATAACACCTTTTTATCAAAATTAAACGCTAAAAGAATTTTTAATCATATATTATTTATGATTCTGGATGAACACACCATGTGGCGGACGATTCGATGTATGTAGGCTGTCGTTATAAAAATAAACTAAACGGAATATCGTATAACATTTACATGCTTCATTACCTACACTTCTTGAAGGTCAATTGTTGGTGTAACCCCGGGTTTAATAATGATAAACAAGCTTGAAACAAAGCCCGAAACTAACTAAATATGAATATACAATGGAACTTTATACTGGGCTTTAAAATAAATATTTAGAGACGAGTACATTATGTATATATGTATCAAAATCCACGAGGGCTTCAAAGTCAAGCGATAAAAGGTCAGAGGTCGGAGTATCAGGAATCAGCGATCTTCACCGAGCAAGGACTTATACAGAAATTTCTTGGAATCAACTTATATCCGAGAGTGATCTCGTAAAAAGTTAAAAAAAGAATATGACAAAATGAAATATAATTTAATCCCTACTAATATTATAAATGCGAAAGTAACTCTGTCTGTCTGTCTGTTACGCTTTCACGCCTAAACCACTGAACTGATTTTAATGAAATTTGGTACAGAAATAGAGTTGACCTTGAGAATGAAGATAGGATAGTTTTTATCCCAGACTTTTGAAAGGTTCTCTTGGAAACACGATATAAGCGAACTCCACGCGGGTGAAGCTGCGGGCAGAAAGCTAGTAAGTGTATATACGGGAACAACAGGGTTCTGGTTATACTGGTCAAAGTTAATACAAAATATTATAAACATATATTATTTATGCGGAAAATTCATATAAAAAGATGTCAACAAGTACATACCAATAAAACTAACTTAGTACGAGTTTGTATCGTTGTACTATAAACGAAACGTTTGATGTTTGTCATTAAATAACCTACGAAAATAGCATAGGTAGGAATCTATATATATAAAAATGAATTGCTGTTCGTTACACTCGAGAACGGCTGAACGAATTTATCTTATCTTAGTCTTGAAATGATCGTGGAGGTTCAGGGAAGGTTTAAAAGCTGAAAAAAATGGATTCATTTCTGAGACGACCCTAAAAACAGCCCTTTTCTATTTCCCATACAAACGTTTTTTGTCATTAGATTTGTCAACTAACTAATATGTCAATCATTCTGTTCCATTTAAACAAGAAAAATTTAATAAATAGCAATATGTACCTGGTTATTTAAGACAGAATAGAGTTCGCCCGGTCAGCTATACATATAATACTAATAATACTAAACACGGACGAAGACGCGGGCAAAAACTAATATAATGTATACTAAATATGTATATAAAATTATGTAAAATCGAGATATTTCTTGTAAAATATATCAATTACATCAAGGTTTCCTTAACAAAGCTTTTGTTAAACTCCTCAACGTGTTCTACTTTCATCATAATTATTTTTAATATTGTTATACTTATTTAATATTATACAGGGTGACTGGTGAATTACTATCATTATTTAAGGAGAATACTCGGTACATGATTCTCATTCGACTTATGTAAAAAAAAATAGGTACTTAATTTTTGACCAAATTTCCGTATAAATAAATAAAGTGTGGACACGTTCCAAGTGTGAACGCGTGTGTGTGTGTGTGTGTATACCTAATCTGTAGGGCGTTCACACGATGCGTAATTAATTACATAACTTTTGGTTAACTTTACTTAGAAGTTTATTAATATTTATGTTATATTAATTTTTATTTTGTCATATATGATCGTCAAATATCACGTCCTCAAATATTGATAGTAATTCACCAGTCACCCTGTATATAAATATCGTTTTGTCACGTCAATTGAATTGTTATTGAACCGTCGACAGGTGTGGGCGTCATGTAAACTACGCTGGGTAGATTTAGGCCACCTGGGTAAATTTTACTTCTTAGATTATTAGCTTTTATCTCAAGGAAGGCGTCATCTTCATTTACAATAAGTTTAAAAAAATCGAGAAAAGGATTTTTATAAGCTCGAAGACCTAAATTTTTAATTGCCCATACGAAAATTTTATTAATATACATAATAAAGTAGACGACGCTACGGGTATCAACTAGTTGTGCAATTTAAGCAATTTTTTATACTTTATCCCTTATTAGGACTTGTCAAGCAAACGTTTAAGAATTCTATTGTCTATTGAACTTTTATAGAGTATTAATAAGTTGTTTTATCCTTATATATATGTATATAAAAGAAAGTTGAAGATATGGTTGAAAATTGGTGGAGAGATAGCTTAGAACCAGGAGACGGACATAGGACATTTAATTCTATTTTGATAGAAAAAGAAAACCTTAATAAATTCTAATATCTGGTTATTTACGGCCTCTAGATAAGAATAGAGTTCGGCCGGCCAGCTATACATACATTACTATTTCCTAAATTAACACGGAAGAAGTCGCGGGCAAAAACTAGAATTTAATAAAGGGAACTGGATATCTACATTATTAATAATGGATCGATTTTCGACTCAATTAAATTTAATTAAGTCAGTGGTGGCCTAGTGGTTAAAAGGCCCGCCTCTCGTTGCCGAGGGTTCGTTCCTGGCCCGGGCAAGTACCAATGTGACTTTTTCCGAGTCATATGTACTTTCTAAGAATATTTAGACACCACTGACAGACGGTGAAGGAAAACATCGTGAGGAAACCTGGACTTATAATTTCAAAAAAAATTATAAGTTTGAAATCACCAACCCGTCTTAAGCAAGCGTGGTGATTAATGCTCAAACCTTAACCATGTGAGAAAGGTTAAAAAAAGGCTAAAAAAAATCTATGTGTTTTTATAGACGAAAACACTGACAGTTTAGAAGTTTTCTAAGGATAGTATCGCTGATATAAATTGAAAATATACATAAAAAATCGCGTCTCCTAAAACATATATACAATAAATATGTATAATTTTTATATTTCAACTTAAACTATACTCAGTTACTATATGACTTCCTCACTTGAGACGTTAAATCGTTAACACAAATTAGATTATCTTTTATAAATATAATAATAATAAATGCAGATCATATCAAGAATAAAAAAGCAATGTTTTAAAAAGTAATTAAACATAATATAAAAAAAAAAAGTTTTGAGAAAAATTATTATCATCATCAGCCTATCAGAGTCCACTGCTGAGCAAAGGCCTCTTTCTCACACTGAGAAGATTGGATATAGACTTACGCGAGTTTTATTCATTTAAATGAAATTAATTTTTCGGATATACTACGTGTGCTATAAGCCTTATGTACAAATAATATCCAGAGTTACATAGAACAAAATTTGTCAAAATTTACTTATTAAGAAGTAAAGACATATAAAATGTTGATACTTCCGTAACTACCCTCCAATTCGTTGATTACAACGAGTATATCAATCGATCCAGATACATTTCAATTCCAATTGATCAAAAGCCGGGGCTTCATAGGTATTTGTTTACAACACTTGGAAGGTTTCATCTAAACACAAACTTAATTAAATCTATCTCAGGATACGGTTCGATCACATGTTACGATACTGGGAAAACATTTCATAGATTCATATTAAACTTATAAGATAGAGAAAATAATCATTGTATAATAATATATACATATAATTATATTCACTATATTATA